CTGCTGCTGCAGCTGCTGCTGCTACTACTACTACTACCACTACCACTACCGCTACCACCACTACTGTCACTGTTGCTGTTGCTGTTACTGCTACGGTTGCTCTTGCTGTTACTTGTACTGCTGCTCTTACTGTCACACTTTCTGTTACTGTTACTTCTACTAGTTATGATTAGTAGCTATTACGAACGATGTGCTTTCATGTTAGTATTATTGTTGCTGCTGCTGCTGCTGTTGTTGTTGCTGTTGTTCTTGTTGTTGTAGTTGTTGTTGCTGCTGTTGTCGTTGTTGGCGGTGGTGTTGTTGGTGGTGGTGGTGTTGCTGTTACTTTTATTTACCCTTACTACTACAATTGTTAGTTGTACTAGTGATGTTTTTACTGTTATTACCATTGTTGTTGCCATTGCTGCTATTGTTGTTGTCGTTGTTGTTGGTGGTGGTGGTGCTGCTGCTGGTGGTGTTGTTGCTGTTGCTGCTGTTGGTGCTGTTGTTGATCTTATAATGATGTTGTTGCTATGACGATTAATGTTTTTTTGGGCGGCCCATGCAAAGCTCACTCGCGACCCTAGACTCACTGTGAGTAGGAAAAGAAGGAGGTGGACCTAAGGAGCTTCTTGCACGCTGGCAGCCCCACTAGCTTGTTCCAGACGGTTAATCTTACACACCAAAATAGTGCATATTATAGTACTCTGAATAAACTTTATATGTAATCTGTGTATGGTTTCGTTAGTTGTAGTATCGCATATATATATATATATATCCAGTAAGTATTTATATAACAGATTCTAAGATCAAAGGGCATCACGGTCGTTTATAATAACGCATATTACACTATATCATGTTGTGTTATGTGATGTTTTATTCTGTTATATGATATTATGTTGTGTTAGGTGCCTAAAAAATTCTGTTATGTTTTGAAATTATCTATTAAACAAGAATATTTACTATACTACCATACTATATTCACTATTTTCACCAAGCTCCAACAAGGGCCTGTCAGTTTCATCGCCGAGGGTGGAGCTGAATCGCCTGCGAGCAGACCAGTAGCAACTCAAGAGGACTTGTAGAACAAATCAGAAAACATGATACCGTGGCTATATATATATATATATAGAGATTATATGGAGAGTGAGAGAGAGAGAGAGTGTGTGTGTGTGTGTGTATTTGTAACAATAATTTTAATGAGAATAGTAGTGATGATAGTAATAACAACAGCTATAACAGTCATGAGCATAAAGCACCATTATATTTTCCCGGACAGCCGAGCCCAGCAGGGAAGTCACGAATGCTACGTGCGGGGTGAAGAGTTCTGCAAAGCACACGACTGTGTCGACTGTGACCCTGACGGGACCACAGTAACTGCCGTCAGTACCTGCTGTAAGCTTCACGGCTACACTGTCCAAACTTACTCCGGCTACGTCTCTCCTGGAGAAGTGCTTTTCGAAGGTCATCGTCAGCTTTCTTGACGGCTGGGAATCCTGGCACGATTCGAGGGAGTGGCATCTGCGACACACTTCAGCCCCAACTGATTAGGAGACATTGCGAAAATCGCGAGGACCTCAACCCTGCACTGATTGTTGTCACGGGCCCAGAAGAGGGAAGCGTGTGCACATGCAGCTCAGCAGAGAGGAGTTGCGCGCCATGGGGACTTCCACATCTTCTTCCACAATGTTCATTCTGATGTCGTCGATATTGAACCTCCTGAGTGGAAGCTTTGACGGAGGGCTCGGGGAACTGCAACAGGGCGGTTCAATCTCAGCCCACGCTGAAAGAAGAGTTTTGGCACCGGAGGGCAGCGAGTGGCTGAGCGACTCTCATCAAAGGCATATCCCAGTCTGATTGAGTTGCCGACATCTTGCCATATCTCGCTTTCACCTGCCAGTGCTGCTGCATCAAGATTTTGTATGCGGCGTGGGAATCCTGGTATCCTCCTACCTCGTTCATAGAAGGCCTAGGGTTCTTCGTCCGTGACTCCTCCATTTGCAAGCTCGACGAAACCCGATCATGGCTTTCCAATGCGATTGAGTCCGTACCTTTGCCGGAGAGATTAGGAACTCTTAATTAAGTCACGTTCCAGAATCGTCTGAACAAAAACTGAAACACGCAAGCTCAGCCCACTCGGACAGGCAGCCGAGGCTATCGCAGGAGGAGGCGGCCAGGGCTTGTTCATCGACCAGGCCGGAACGACGATCAGATTGAACTTCCTGGCCGCCCGGGCTGGGTCGGATCCCACCTGAGCAGGTTCTTCTGACAAAGGATGGCGACAAGTTCATCTACTCCAAGACTACTTAACATGAAGCTGCTGCTAATGCTGCTGCTGCTGCTGCGGCTGTTGCCACTACTACTCCTCCTCCAACTACTATTCCTGCTTTTGTGGCTGGCGAAGGCGACGACGACGAGTTCGACTACAACAACGACTGCAACTAGGACTACCAGGGCCACTACTCCAACGACTTCTACGAAGACGACTACTGCCCCTTCTGTTGGAAAGACCAGTAGTCGTCATAATTATGGGACTCCCGGTAATCATATGCGTCGGCATACTCGTAGCACCCAGAAGCCTAATAGTCAGGCCCATATCAGATGCCATGCACCATGATCTTCTTCTACTTAACCGCTAGATTCAGACAAGCGGGTGAACAACAGCACGAATACGACGACGACGACGACGACAAGACGACGACGACGACGGCGAGGGCGACAACGGCGACGGCGACGCCGACGGCAAAAAAACAAAAAATGCACAGGACATTACATGGATGATGTGGATGCTGTGCGTGATTTTCGCGAGAGCTGACATGAAACTTAAGCGCCGCGACAGCAATAGCAGTTGCAACGGTTGCAGTGAGACCTGTCAGAGTAGCACTTCAAGTCATTGGGCTGAAGACTTGAAGTCTCTCCCGAGGACCCCACGATCTTCCCCAGGGTGGTGTTGGAGGCAACCTGCACAGAGGCATGCTAATACAGGTCTCCAAGAGGGATTGACCGCTTCTTAGAGGTCGTGCACAGCAGACAGTGTCTGTAATAATGGTGGTGACTATCATAATAAAAACAGTACCAGTAATACCAATAAAACCAATAGGCCAGGAATGCATGTGAGCTCCCACACACCATCATCACGGCGTGAAACTCTGAAAGGCAGAACAAAAAGAGCTCACCAACATCGAAGCAGTCGTGACTTGAAATGAATAGCTGGAACTGGAACCATGAGCAGGTAGATACTGACACCGGAAAGCCGGCCTCTCTGTACTTCTTGTTTTGGATCTTGGCACCTTGTCCAAACAACTCACATGGCCGGCAATCCCAACGAACCTCAAGAGGACTATGTATTTGTATGTCCCTGTAGCAGCATGGGCACACATGAAACCTTGAGGCAATGCTCTGCGATCAGCAAGATCGACCGGACGACTAGAACAGCTGAGGCCAAAGCTCAACTTGCAGCTCTTCTCCGCACTACTGAGCATGGCCTCAGAGCTGCAAGAGAGGTGCAGCACAGGCCAATGTAAAGTGATCCTGTCTGGGCCTTGGTCACTTCGTGATCCATTAGACGGAAGATCTTCAGATGACCATGAACACCATGGATTTGGTTGGGTTCCAGATAATCGTTGTAGCACTGTTGCCACAGCTGCAGCCTCTGAACGACTGGGCACACCGGCCGCCAGCGACTCTTTGGCTGAAAGGCCCTGCCAACAACGTTGCTGACCACAGGGCCAATACTCAAGTCAGAATAAGAATAGTAATGACACCAAATAAAACAAAGCGAGGAATAATAAGAACGATACAGAACAGCAACAAGAGCCCATCGCTACAGGTCATGAAGCCCTGTTTGTGGCAACCATAGAGTCAGTCACAGCTTCGAGGCTACGCCACCAAGCAGACTCGATATCGAACACCCTGAATTCTAAACCCTACTTAGAGGCCCAGGGGACTTAGTAAGTCGGTTATAAGTAGGGTTATAACTGGGGTAACTCCATTTAGGGTACATGAAAATCTCTACTTATAACCTTCTTCTTACTAAGTTTACCGGGCCTCCAAGTAAGCCTGAATCGTAGGTTCGTGGCCCGAAGGAGCCCCCGCAGCACGCCCTTTTACCTTCAAGGAAGAACCTGACAAAACACCCTCCCGACTCCTGGTCGTAGGTCATTTGGAGCAAGCTGGCCCGTGTGGACCTTAAGTAGAGCTTGGGTTTGGGGTTTAGGGTGGATTTCATTCAGAGGATTCCGCACAGGGGGCTTTTAGATATGCGTCAATCAGTTTTGCGAGGGCTACCTGTGATCCGACTTGTGTGATGGTTTCTTTCGCCTGCTCTAGTACCTTGCTGGACTTTCGAGCCGGGAATGTGGCGTTTAGGGTTTACGGTTTAACAGTAAACTGTCTGAATCTGGAGTAGCCTCGTGTGCTACCTGTACACCGGGTGTCAAAGTCAAAATCAATAAAACCTAGTAAAGACCGCTCCAGGAAACAGATGAGGGCTTCGTCAGCAGCGACGTCTTCATTTCTCAGGGCTCCGTCCTCGTATGCCCTGTGTTGTGCCATGAAACCCTAAAGCCTAAACCGTTGATCAGTTCATTCAGCTGCAGTGCAAGGAAGCCTGTCTGGAAGCAAGAAGTCACGGGGAAGCTGAGATTTCAAGTGTCAATTTATGCTGGCAGCCGGCAACCGGAAACCGGGGACTCCTTCTGCCTTGCAGAACGCCAAGGATGCTGAGCCGTGCGCAGTCGTCGGGTTCCCTGTGAGGACATGCTCTGCCTCGACATGCTCTGCCTCGGCCTGGCCCACTCAACAGGCATTGAAGCAGACTTTGGCTGCTGTCTTCATGACATTCAGCTGAACTCCGAACGGTAAGCTGTGATGAACCCCTGGACTTACCCCCCTCAGCATCCCACATTCGCCGCTTCACTTCAACGTCGGCTGAATGAGCTTGGCCTTGTGGAACATGCCCAGATGTCAAGGCTTCGAATCTGTATAGACGGGCTGGAAGAAACGAGAACTGGAGCCGGCTTTGCGAGAGGCTGTCCATACGCAGTGAAAAATATTCGTGTTGCATTGCTGTGCCTCTCAGTTACCATGTGCCTGCATGCTGAGTTTAACCACATGAATGTCAGGAAGAACCTCCGTTTTAAAGCCTCTTTGCGCCAACACCACAGTGCCAGTCAAATGCGTGTCAAAACTTGCAGCACCTTCCAGGGCGGCGAATTGCGTACATGCCTTGTTGTTGTTGTTGTTGTTGTTGTTGTTGTTGAAGTTGTTGTTGTCGTTGTTGCTGTAGTTGTAGTTGTAGTTGCGGTTGTAGTTGTAGTAGCTGTTGTCATTATTATTATTATTATTATTAGTATTATTACTATTAGTAGTAGTAATAATAATCATCATCATAGTCAGCCTGATTCTTTATATTGCCCCTGTCCCCGTCCAAACAAAAGGTCACTGGGCCCACGGCAGTGCTCGCTTTGGGACGTCAGAGGCGCTGCTGGCTCCTGCTCCTGCCCCAGAAGAACCCCAAATTACCGTCTATACTTCTAGAAAAGCACCCGGCAATCGCGATAAAATTGAAAACGGCCACGCACCCNNNCCCCCCCCCCCCCAAAAAAAAAAGCACCTTAAGAGGCGAAAGAAGAGCGCCCCCAGGCGCCCCAAACGCACCGGGGCATGGTTCCAACAAAAGCATTTAGACAACTTCCAAGTGGTTTCGTGGCTACCTGCCGGTTGATTCGACTAACCACCCACAGCCGATTCCAGGAGGTTAGCACCTGCTACGAAGCACAGGAGCAGGGGCCATTAGCAGGCCTCGCCCTCCTCCGGCTCGCTGTCAGCCTTACCTGGCTCAAAATCACAATGGAAACGAACCTGAATAAGGCTTCGACTTTCGGACATGGTAAGTTGAGTTGCTAGGGTCTTGTTCTGATTTGGGATGCCCCAAAGCCCAAAAAGCGGCTCTCGACCTCCAAAGAAGTGTCTAGCACGGAAGTCAGAAAAGAAGACGCGTACCGTGGAGATGAACCAGCTGTCGCAGGGCGCTCGCCGTGGCCAGCCGGGAAACCTTGAGTCAGGTGCTTCGCAAGGGCTAAGTTCGAGCTTGGACTCAAGTTCAAGGGAATGGAGCTTCAGCTCGCACCTGCAAGGACTAAGCTCTGCAGTGCTTGTTAGGGATCTGTCGTCTGTCGAAGCATTCCATGCAGAGGCATGAATCAACTGCGCATGCAAGTGCGTCTCCACATGCCAGCTGAGCTTCGCACAGCTTTCGCCCGTATGCTCATGGCAACCTGGAAGCACGAAACAGTCCTGAAATGCGCACGATAGTTGCCGCGGTGTATGCGAGACCGGCCAAAGAATCCTACAAGTGAAAGTGAGCAGGTTGTCGCTGCGAACCGGAAGAGATGCCAAACTCTCTTACCCAAAACTTGCTCCACCCTTGTAACACCTTACGCCTTACGAAATTACGAAGTGAAGGCTTCAGGTTAACAGCTCGACGAACACCAGCGACACTAATGTATATTCAGATTGCAATATATCCGGGTAGCTCTCTGCACTCTCACTCAAAACAGGCCGGTGCTGCTGGTCCTCGGGCTTTCTCGCCTCAAAGGTCAAGCCCAGAGTCCCGAATCAGAGCACGTGAGTTTCTCAGACTGGGCCAGGAGCCAAGGACCTCAGCCGCCACACCCAGTCCTTTGCACGAGAGTCACGCACGTCATAACACCAGCGCAACATAACTCACAGTCAGATCGCGGTAGAGAGCATCGATCGTGCAAGACTTGTCGGAGTATTCATGAAGGGAAAGCATGGGGCCATACATTCAGTGGGGGTGGTTTTCATTCCTGAAGCTGCTTGTTGTTCCACAAGTTCCGCACACGAAAAGCAGATAAACGCAGCAACTACGGAGAGCGACTGTTTGCGAAAACGACAGGATAGCAGCAAGTCTTCATCAGCTGGCAGAAAGAAGATGCAAGGATGATGTACCTCTGCCGGGGTGTGTACTCATGCAGGTTTTGTGGGCTTTCAGACCTAACTGCTAACCCTTTCTGCGGGGTGCTGCCACAAAAACGCTCCCTGACAGACACTGACAGACCGTGGTCCCTTGTTGACTGCAGGGTCCTTCCACCGTGTTGGTGAGTAGGTCACTGGGGTGACTTGCCTGGCACATCTTCGACTACTTTTGATACAAAAACACAGAAC